GGCTTTAAGGTACCACCTTCAATAAAATCCATTATACGAGTGGGACCGATTTACATTTATGAACTTTGCATATTCTTTCACTGGGTTGAGTAACTAGACGGAAAATAGGCCTTGATAATATACGAAGCCATACAGACTGTTAGGGAAGGGTTACGTCCACAACCTGCCAGCTAAGAGGGGCACGTCATGGCCCGATTGCGAGCGGTTTCCGCTGGCGGCGGCGAGGGCGACAGCGACGGCGGCGGCGGAGTGGGCGGCGGAGGGGCCGGTGGCGGCGGGGCCGGCGGCAGCGACGGCGGCGGCGGCGAGGGCGACGGCGGTATAGACGGCGGTGACGGCGGCGGCGACGGCGGCGGCCTCGGCGGTGCGACGCAGTCCTCGGACACGGTCGACACGTTGGAGCCTGTCGTGTGGGCGAGCGCCGAGCTGACATCGCCAATCTCGCAGCTCGAGCCCAGAGAAGTGGCCTCGATGGCAACGTCGATCTCCGACCCCGCTGACTCCGCTTGCACTTGCACGCCTGAAGAATCGAACGCATCGTTTGATTCGCATCCACGGCTATATCTCGACGGCAACTCGGCCGTATCTCCTCGCCACCTGCTGTATCCGCCAAGTCAGCAGCAACCTGCGACGCGTTGATGGCACGAACGGTTTGGTTGAGGTCCTGCTCCGAGAGCGCTCGCCCGTTCCTGCACAGAGCAAGGCAAAGTTGTGATTGGTGCTTCACGAGGTGCAACCGGGATATGTGCCGGGGCATGGGCGAAATCCTGCGCAATCGAACGCTGTTGTGGCCAAGCCTCTGGACTGCAGACGCAAACCAAGACGACGAGCACGGGTTGCTGACTCGACCTTGTAAAACCTGTTCATGCTGAAGCGATGAGCCGAAGCTGCGACTGCACGAACTGCTGCTCCTAGCTCTCAGGACCCGGAATCCGTTGGGACAGGACGAGCATGGCGCCTGCATAGGCATGCCAACGTGACTGCTTCTAGCCGTGCGCGGCCATAAGACTAGATAGAATGGAGGACAACGCGGCCCACTTCTCCGTTGTGCTCTCGGACAGAGAAATCTCTCGGTGAGGTGGCTTTCGGCTATTCCACGCACCCGGAAGGAGTACCAGTACCTGCCACTAGCGCAGGTGCTGACGTGCTTGAGGCGTCGCCGGTGCGCTGTCGGTGGAGGCAGCGGCGGAGGCAGCGGCTGCGGAGATAGCGGCGGCACCGTGGGTGGCGACGGCAAAGATGGCGGGCGAGGGAGCGACGGAGGAGCCGATGGCGGTGGCGGCGACTCGGGGGGGTGAGGCGGATGTAGTGGTGGCACTGGATTCAACGGCGGCGGCGGCGGAGGTGGAGGAGCAGGCGCCCTGCTGGGCGGATACGGCGGAGGCAGTGGTGGCGGCACCGGCGCCATCCCCGGTAGGTGTGGTGGGAGGGCAGGCGGTGCGGGTGGTGGGCTCGGGCGGCCATGAAAGTCGAAGATAGATAGGGCCTCGGCGGCGGTCACCACCTAGAGCGCACACCGCCCCTCGCGTGAGTCCACGCCGCACCGCGCCAGCGATGGAGCTCGGCATGCGTTTCGGTTGCGTTGACGTCGCACTCGCTGCCCTCATAGCACTGTGACTTGACGGCCGTCTTAATCTGGTCGCCAGTGACCTGCTGCCCGTCCGCGATGTAAAAGGTAATCGGACCATCCCTGCAGCCGGCCAGACGGACATAGGCACAGGGCTTACGTCTTCGCGTGAGGGAGCATGGGAACGCAGGGTGTAGTGTGCAACGTGGATCGCGGCTATCTCGGCATGACGCACTGCTGCAGGAGCTCGATTTCAGACTCCTCCGTGGCCCCCATGGCCGCCTGTTGGGCGCAAATGCCCGTGGTCAGAGACGGTGCGGCGATCTCGGAGAATCTCTCAGCCGGCCTCGCCTCCACGGTGTCGACGATGTTGCCGATGGTGGTGTCCTCCTAAGAGTAAACGCAGGAACCAACAAATAAGAACAGTGGCAAGCCGGGGGTCCTGAAGACCTCGTGAGTCGAAGCGCTTCGACACCAGGGCGTGCACTCGATGCGATGCAGCCGAATGTGTCTTCTCGAGTGCCAGTTGGAATAGCGGGATGTATATGCAGCATCTTGGGCGCCCTCCTTCACCTCGCTGACAGGCAGTTGGGCCTCGTAGTGGAGTGTGCTGGTCAAGGGCGGGAAGGGCGGTGTGCTCGGCGGTGGGGAGGGCGGCGGCGACGGAGGGGGGGGTGAAGGAGGAGGTGGCCACGGAGAAGGCGGCGGCGGCAGCGGCGGCGGCGCCGATGGTGGTGGTGGTAACGGCGGTGGCGATGAGGGAGGCGGTGGAGGAGCCTGTGGCTCTTCGGTGGGCACGGCTGGCGGGAAGGAAGGCGGTGGTGGAGAGGGCGGTGACGAGGGCGGCGGAGAGGGCGGCGGGGATGGAGCTGGGCTCGGTGGCGGAGCTGGGGGTGGGAAGGGAGGCGGGGTTGGCAAGGCGAGGCAGCAGCTATCACACGCGCACCCATACTGGGCAAGGGTGCTACAGGGCAAGAAGCTGTGGTCGGCGCAAGTCAGCCCGCGGCATCCGATCTTACAAGCCGCGTTTGGCAGTGACGGCGGGCGTGGCGGCGGTAGTGGTGGCAGTGGCGGTGGCAACGGCAACGGCGGAGGAGGGCTGGCGCTGCCGCCTGTTGCGCAGTAGTCCGGTAGTGGGGGCGGTGGCGAGGTGGAACGCCCCGAGAGTCTGCGCCCACTGTTGGTGATGGCCTTATACCATCGAAACCATCGCAGGCAGACGTTCCCGCACCGCTTGCGGCCATTCCTGACGATGCATCGGTGGACAAGATAGTCGCCACTTGCGCAGTTGGTCGACCTCGACCCCGAAAGGATCGAATTGTACTCTTGGCCAACGCCGGCAGACACTGCGTACGTCGGCGTGCCGCCGCACGAAGCAAGATCGACGGGGGCGTCAAAGGAGACTGCGAGCCCGCTGCTCGAGTACTGGGTCTCCACTCTCGAGTACGTCAGATGGTCATAGTCTAGGAACTCTTGCGGAAGGGGACCAAAGATGCTTTGCATGTCCGGGCAGTCGTTGGCGAAGGCGATGTAGACGTCGCTGGGGCTCGCCTCGTCGAACCCTGGGTCGACCAAGAGGCACGTGACCCTGCATGGAGAGTTCGCGGACATGGCAAGTGTCCACGTTGCAGGAGAGCAGCCACACTCTGTAGACACGACCGAGTTCGGCGGCAACGGCGGCGGTGGAGGAGTGGGCGGCGCCGGTGATGCGGGCGGCGGAGAGGGCGGGAATGGTGGAGGCAGTGGTGGCGCCGGCGATGACGGGGGCAGGGCCGGGGAGGGGGGGGACGGGCACACGTCCCCGCCCGTGACCCTGCAGATCCAGTCCCTGTAGTGCGCCACCCGCGTGTAGACGCCGCCTTGGCCGCACGAACCGATCAGCCCAAAGCTCACCAGCCCGACGAGGACGCGGTCCTTCACCTCGCCACTGAAGAGCGGGCCGCCCAAGTCTCCTGCGCAGGAGTCGAGGCCGTCTCCGCCGGCGCAGATCATGTCACCCGCCTCTGAAATGTCCCGTTCAAGCTCAAAGATCGACCTGCACCGAGTAAAGTCCATGATTGGCACCGTGGTCTGCCTAGCCGGGCCGTCGTAGAAGCTGCTCGACGCGGTCGTCTTCCCCCATCCGGCGATTTGCAGATCCGCAGATGCCGCCGAGTCGTCCATGCTCGCCGCTGGGAGGCCGGCGCTGTCGAGGGTCGTGATGGGCGGGTAAAGCGAATCGGTGGCGAGCCGGATCAGGGCGATGTCGTTGCTTTGGTTCCTGCTCCCTCTGTTTGTGTAGCCCTCGTGTACGATGACCTCAGCCACCTTTATCACCTCCACGCATTCGTCTCCCACCTGACCGGGGTCGCCGCCTGCGTTCCGAAGCACGTCCTCCCTATCTAGGCCGATGATCGCAGACATGGTGATTAAGTCGACCTTGTTGTACACGCAATGCGCGGCGGTGAGCACCCACCGCTTGTTCACGAGGGATCCGCCACAAAAGTGCTCGACGTGTTGCGAGACCTGTTGCTGCAGCGAAACCAGCCACGGAATCGTTCGCGGGGGAAGCGGCCTGCCCCCAGAGATGCGATTCCCTGAGTTCCACGGCGGCGGCGGAGAGGGGTCTGGTGATTCCGGGAGCGGTGGCGGCGGCGGAGAGGGGTCTGGTGATTCCGGGAGCGGTGGCGGCGCGGGAGGCAGCGACGGAGGCGTCGGTGGCGGGGGCAGAGCTGGCGATGGTGAAGCTGGTGGCGGCGGAAAGGGTGGTGGGAACGGCGGAGGTGGCGGCGGTGGCGGCGGCAGAAGCGGCACAGGAGGCGATGAGGTAGGAGTTGGGTGGCGGGCACAATCGGGCAAACACCCGGGGCAGCCACTGCATCCGTACCATGTGCACCGGTCGCGCGGGAGATAGTTTGCCGAGACCTGACAATACGCCTGGCACTCACCCGGTTGTTGCGGCCAACCGACGGATTCGCGCCAGCTGTCATACCAGCACCGCCAGCTGTCCCAGTTCCACGTCCCGTAGGGGGGAGGGGGGGGTGGGGGTACGCGTTGCTGCTGCACCCGGCAGTTTGGGAAGCAGCCGCGACAGTCACCCCAGGTGCACTTGAGGCTCCACGGCGAAAAGTTTGTCGTGCAGTGGTGCTTGCACTGAGTTAAACAGTGGTTTGAGCAGCCACCGCACTTGTGCCAGTTGCACTTTGTCTGCCAGGAATTTGTGTTGAGCGGGCAGAAGGACAAGCACTGCAACATCGGGTGCTCGCTATGGGTCGCCCGTCGGCCGTCATCTCGGCGTCTCGGCGCCGGCGGCCGTCCGTTTCGTTTGTATGGTACTCCAGGGTATCGGTGATCTGTGATCTGTGAGGGTCCGCCCGCAGGCGCATTTTGTATACCGAGGCGGTGCCCGGTGCCGAACCTGTCGGACCTTAAGACAGCATTGTAGATCCCTGGGCGAGGGTGGTGGCGTCCCCGTCGGGTCAGGGCTGAAGGCGGGGGAGACCAACCCGATCTCTCCGGCGTCCCGGGAGCGTGATTGACACCTCCCCCCGTGCCAACAGCCCCATGGAGGTAGGCCGCTCGTCTAGCCAATCAGCCTTAAGCGAGCGGCCTGGCCGTTGGAATGGCCGAGTATCCGAGAGGCGGCAGCCTCTGCCCTCGGAGAGGGGGGGAGGTCTATAAACTACCTAGTTGTCCGGCATGCGAGGGCATGCTCGGCCGTTCGGAGTCCCCCCCCTCGTAGAGGACGTCGGAGGGAGGGGAGGACGACTGTCCCTGACGGCGAACCTCAGTTACGAGCCGCCCTCCCCTCGAGACGCGAGGCCAGTGCACTTGGGGCCAAGCCCCAGCGTACACCGTCCCCCACGCCTCACGCGGCCTCTGGCTGGAGCGGGATCGCAAGCGAGTCCCCCAGGCCGGCGCGCGTCTTCCGAGAGAGGAGCAGGAGCGAGGGACATTCTTAGTAAGCCGGCATGCAGATGCATGCACGGCCGTTCAGAAACTCTCCAGCCGTTGGAATGGCTGCGCTCCCGCCCCTCACGCCAGGTGGACAAGCGGGGGGGAGGTCAATGACCTGCCTAGTAAGCCGACATGCCAGGCATGCCGACCTTTCGGAGCCCCCCCTCGTAGACGTGTGCCGCTGGGATCATTCCAGTCTCCGCAGTACGCCCGAGGGCGACGGTCCCCCGGTATCGGTTGCAAGAGAGAGAGAGTACGCGTATACACTGTTGCAAGACAATGGGCTGGCTGACTGGGATCCTGACTGGCTGAGCTGGTTGATTTGGCTGCCCCGTCGCTGTGCACGAGATCGGCGCGGTGAAAACGTTCAGGCGGACACACGTTTAATAATGGTATACGCTCGATCCTCGGACGGACGGAAACGGCCCCCCCTCTCACGGCTGACCCTGGGCATGGCCTCTCTAGGGGTGAGCTGGGTCGGCCTCCTCCGGGTCTGCAACTCGCACGGCGGGTCCGCGTCCGGGCAAGTATCCGCGGCCCGCGGTTGTCCTTTCGCAGGGCGCGACCGACATGGAGATCTGCTGCCCACAGATCAGTGCTTTTGTCGACTATTGCTCGCTCTCTGTGCACTCGCAACGCCAGAGGCCGTGCTTGGAGAATGAGTCGCAATGCTGCTGCGCCTGTGGATGGAGCCGCGGCGCAAGCTCCATCGGTGAGCTGCGGTGGCGCGCCGGCCGCTTCATGCATAGCTCTCCGGCGAGCGGCCGCGAACGCGTTTTCTGTCCGCCGTTTCATCGAGTTTGCCCGAGTGGTTGGCCGACTGGTCTGGGGGGGGAAAACCAAAGCGGAAGGTTGGCTACAAGAGCTAAAGGTCAACATCCCCTCCGGCTACGACACAATGTGAACGTGATCTGGTCCTCACGGGGTTGACCCGTCTCCTCCAGATCGAGACGGACTTCATGAACGGCCGAGCAATATTTCTTCGTTAATATTATTAATTGATGCTTTTTGCACGGCTGAGCCCCCCCCCCCCCCCCGCCCATTCCCTGCCCTCTCCCGCCACACACTCCGTCAGAGCCCTCTCCCCTCTTGCACGACAGGAATTTTGACAATTAACCTGTACCCACCGAGGCACAACTCAGAACGATGGGCTTGCCCATCCCGGAGTGGTTCGATCCCACACAAACCCGAGACGGTGACGGGAAGCGTCGTGCGGTCTCAGGCCCAGTGAGGTAGAGTGCGCCAGACCAACCCGGATCCTGCTGAACAAGCTCCTCTTGTAGCTCGATCGGTCACACCGCCATCGCCGTCGGGGAGAGGGGGGACGGCACTGCTTCAGCAGCGTGCACCTCGATCCTGTACCGTGTTTGTTATGACCCCCCGCAATGAACACACCAGTGAGGGTGGGCGAGACGATCGAGGGGTCCCGTACCATGGGCGGAATCGACCCTATCAAGTGCTCAAGTGCTCAAGTGCTCAAGTATACGCTTACGGCTTTTATGGAGAAGTCTCAGAAGATCTTCAACTTCATATCTTGTCCTTGAGCGCGGCTGCCAAACGCAAAGCACATGCTTTTACTTAACAGTAATTATTCATTCCACACAACACCGCGGCACCAGTCACGTCGAGCTGTTAGAGCCGTACGTAGCGAGCCCAAACGGACATACAGTAACAGTACGCCGCTGCCCGGGGGTGCAGAGAGATGCTAATTCTCGAGTCCCCCACTGACAGAGACCGGCCCACATACTCATCCCGGGCGAAGTGCCCGCGCGGCAACAAGGGGCTATGACAGCACGTTTCGGTCATGAATGGCAAGGCGGCAGAGCAGCACCAAAGCGTTGGTCACCGGCCCCGTCCCCGCACTCACCTCGCCTTTTTGGCCCCGCCGGCGCCAGCGGCGCCAGCCTTGCGCTTAGGCGCCTTGCCCATGCCGCCCAGCTCGAGGACAGACTTGCCGGTCGCCTCGTCCGCCGCGCGGGCAAACGGGTTGAGGAGCGTCGGGGCGGCGCCGCTGCCAGCCGGGGCCGCGGCCGCCACCGCCTTTTGCCTCGGCGGCGCGTCGTTCTCGTTCGCGCCGCTCTCCCGCTCGTCATCCGCGTCGGCGGCGGCCTCTTGCGCGGCGGGCGCGGCGGGCGCGGCGGGCGCCCGGGCGGCGGGCGGCGCGCGCGGCGGCGCCGACTCGAGGTCCTCATCGGGGTCAGCGTCGTCGTGCCGCGCCTGCTCGCAGCGTCACCCGGTGAGGCGGACCGTGGGGGAAGGGAACGGTCGGCTCGACGCCTCTGGGGGCGGGGGTGGCGGGCGCCTCGAGCAGCCGCGAGAGGCGGTCG